TGACTTCAGCCCTCCCATACACATGTCCTTGGACGGTGGATACAGGCAGCTCACGGCAACAAAAGACAATTTTTTTGTCAGTCTACAAGATGGGTATCTTGCAGACCTAAGCTTGTACTGCAGAGAGTACTGCAGAGAATGGGTTTGGCACAAATCTTGTCTCATGGAAATGACAGTACGAGTGTGTGTTTAGCTGCAGATCACCTGCAAGAGGGCTTACTTTTCTCTGGTACGTTCGCTTACAAAGCTAAGTTTTTCTCTTCTACCAAGTCAAGTACACAGACATACAGAGTTTCGGCCGTCCAAAGGATGTCACACATCCAGGCAATCCATGATAACAAAGGAGAATTTCCTTGATGCCAGTCTACAAGACTTACATTTTGCAGACCTGAACTGTCTTATGGAAATGACAGACTAATCTCAGCACTGAGCACACCTTACTGCACTTAAAACATGAAATGGGAACTACAGATTTCTGACTGAGGTACGTCCTTTCACCCACAGGTTTCTCCTCCAAATGAAAACATTGTCATTACTAATCTGAACCGGCCTTGGTGGGAAAGGTACCAGCCCGTCAGCTACAAGATCTGCAGTCGATCAGGCACTGAAGATGAATTCAGAGACATGGTGACCAGATGCAACAACGTTGGAGTAAGTGCCTTGAAAATGCGTAGCCGATACGCTGAGAAGGGCGGTTTCTGTGGAGCAAAGTTGCCGCTCCTATTCTCAAAGGAAGGTTAAACGGAGAGTAAATGGAGGCGGATGAAAGGTCACGCTGACAGCGGTGCGGTAAAGCTCCGGCTGATGCTTCAACAGCATCACAACACAGACTGAATCGCAATCGCTCCTTTTCCAGGTTCGCATTTATGTGGATGCTGTTGTCAATCACATGTGCGGATCTATGGGTGGCACAGGCACCCACTCAACGTGCGGGAGCTATTTCAACACCGGGACTAGAGATTTTCCTGCTGTGCCGTACTCTGCGTGGGATTTCAACGACGGCAAATGTCAGACCGCCAGTGGAGACATCGAAAATTATGGGGACATCTATCAGGTAACTTTTGTTGATTTAGACTTTGATACTTTTTCTCGTTTAAATCTTGTTGTGTACAGTAAAGCCAAAGAAAGGGAGTAGTTTATCTCGGGTTGAACGCTTAGTCCCCTTACTAGTGAATACAGTGGTGTACATCATAGGCTTCTCTTCCGGAAACGCACCTGTGCTGCCCAGTACTGTAGGCACTGAGAAGTCACAAACCCTACGCATGTTACACGTGGGCATGTGAAGGAGCATGCGTCTGAACCGACTGAGCTGAAGCCTCTCAGTTTTGCCAGCAGGCTCTTTCTTAGGACTTTGGAAATCAACTACCTTTGTTAAGGGAGCCCAGGAAAATTGGGAGCTGTGCACGATGCTACCCTGCTTATGTTGGTCGGTCCGTTTGTCCGTTCTTCCATTTGGATGTGGCATGGGTTGTCAGTTCTTTATGAAGGTTACAGCTCAGCATCATTTAGCTGTAACGTTCTTCCAGTCACAGGGGGTTTGCTTGATAGCTGTGACTTATCAGTCACCATGGAGGGTGGCACTGTAATCCCATCAGGCAGTAACCTCAGGATACCGGGGTGCAGATTATCAGGTCCCATAGACTTGTACACATTCAGAGTCTTCAAGAGGTGTTAGACTTGCTCTTCTGTTACAGCGGGAGGGAATTTTGCTCTCCCAACCTCTCCCTAGATGTTTAAGGACGTAAGAGATATGGGAAGCCTGACTGCCAGCAGAGAATTTGGTTATCACGTCAGCCTTCGCTGTGTCTGTTGTTGCCTTTTCTTGCTTTTCATATATCAGAGAGAGTGTGCTTTCCTTGGCCTTTGTCCTCTGCCCAGCGTACCTGTAGAAATCCCATCTTGCTGCTTCTTAAGTCTTGTGTGAAGTTCACTTTCATCTTTGTGTTCAGTTTACCTATGTCTGCGTGCCTGGAAAGCATCCCCCTATTTTCCGCAGGTTACACGTCCCTTTCCTTACGTTTTCCTTCTTTTCCCTTTTTTTTTTTTTTTTTTCCCCAGCGTGTCATTACTCTGTCACACACTGGTTTCCTGCCTTCTCCACTGTGTTTCACATGTTGGGGGCTGGAGATCTCTTGTGCTCTCAGAAAGGCATCCTTTATGAGCTCCTTTATAACTCAGCATATGAGAGCATAGTCTTCATTTCCTTCTGTAAACAGAGAGCTGTAGTAGTTTCTATCGGAATTTCATAATTAGCCTTCTTTGTCTGAATTAACTGAAAGCTGTGAAACATACTAAGTGTTGCGGAATTAGAACTTGTCCAAAAGACCGCGGTTTGGCTGGCGTTGTTCCTTCTTGATATGGGGGGAAAAAAAAAAAACAACCAAGGAGTGTTTGATCTGTTTTCAGCAGATTTCATAATGATGGGGCTTTTAAAAATGGAAATCATTTTCTACGCAAGGGTTTTTTGGTTGTTTATTGTGTTGATGATTCTATATGCTGTTCAGAAAGAATTGCTCAGAGATAGGTATCTTACAGAGAACCAGTTTCATTCACTGTCAAGTCTTGGCAGATAAGAAGTGCAGGGGTACCTGATCTCTTGGTAGAGACATCCAATTTCTACACAGTTTGCGCTTTAGCGGAATGCCATACATACCTCTTTATGGTTAAAGACAGTTAGAAGCCTAAGAATCATTCTCCAAATGGTTCTCTTTTGCCACTTGGCTGAAATTTCTCATAGTTTCTAGCAAGTTGGATGAGGTATTCTTCTAGACAGGGAGAATGCAGATCGGTCTGGCTGTAGCTTATAGAAGAAATTGGCTAATGCAGTAATGCAGCGTTAGGAAGGCCGTTCTTGTCAAAGTGCTAAATTTTTTTCCCTCTATCTTTCAGAAGTCTAGAACAGACTCAAGGCTTTGCTTCTGAGACACAGAGAGTAAGTACAAGTACATTAGTTTATGTGCACCATTGAAACCGCCTCATTTTTTTTCACTGTTTTCTTGTCAGATTTGATTTGTAACTGCCTAGTTGGCCAGTTGTCCATTCATAAAGAACTGGGGCCCACGGAGAGCATGTGGTGAATACGACAGTAAGTTCTGACCATCTAGGATGTACATGTGGAATCACAATTATAGTGGTCTGAAGAGGAAGAAAAACACTGGCAATCTGAGGGCTGTTTTGCAAGAGAGAGAAGCTAAGCACTCTAATATGGGATCTCTGAATCTAATAATCTAAGAGCTCAACTGTCCTGCAGAAGTTCTCGAGAGAGCAAGGAACTGAAGCTTTTCAGCAGTTAATCCCTTAGCTGCTAGACATAAGAGTTTATGATGTTCAATTACATTTAGTAGTTTCTTTTTCCAAATGATTATTTCTGTTCAAATTCTTCTCATCTTAAAAGGTAGAATCTTCCTTTTTTCCTGTAGGGAAATAAATGATGCCCAAAGAAGGTGGTGAATGCTTTGCGGAGTATAGAAAAAAATCAGACGATAGTGTGATGACAGCACAATGATGTTGTTAAATCCTTATCTGAGCACATGGTTTTTGACAATTTTGTAGGAGAATGTCAGTCTAAGCCAATCCATCAAATAGATAGGGGAAATACTTGAGAACATCTGCAAATTCTTGACTGTGGCTGTAGGAGGGCCATTGTAATGGCATGAATTCTCGCTGCGGTAATTAAAACTAAGAGTTTTCCTAGCAAAGAAAGTATTATCACGTTACTGATTTGGACTGCCCAGAAGGATTTTTCCTAAGCATTTTTTGTTTTAAATAAGTAAAACACACAATACGAGTTGGAGGGGAGAACTGCAACTACAGACTTATATCTGGAAATCAGCTTTGTGGGATGCCAGCTAGTAAGTTCTTAAGGATGAGGCAATTAAGTGTCATTTATGAGGTTGGTAATTGCACCATCTTAGAATCAAGCATCTTCTTTCAGCAGCTTTCCTAAATAAAACCTCTGAAGTGATCCCCGATCTCGCCAAGTAAGAGAAGAGGGTTCCATGTGTCAGTGACTTCAGGTAAGCACTCTTGTGTTTGACGACCTTATTTTATCAGGCTTTTGTTGAAAACAAAACAGTAAGAAAGTCTGTCAGTCTGGCTAACTCCAGAGCTGTCTTCCCCAGCAGTACTGACTAGCAAGCTTATTTTGCTTCCCTGGAAGTCACTTGACACATTCTTATGCTTTGTAGCTGGGCTTGTAAAGTTACTGGGATTTTGGCTGTTGGGAAATACAGTTAGAAGGATAAGCCAGTCTGCTCCGCTCCAGGAAGCAGCTATGCCTGACTTTCCTGAGGCCAGCACATCTAGCTAGCATGAATGGCTTCCACTCTAAGCCATGTGACATTCCTTCCTTTTCCTACTTCTTACACTGCTTTCTCTTCTGCCAAGTAAATAAGAGTCTGAGAACCACTGAGACCTGAGAAGTGTAAAAAAGCCTCCCCTTGTTCTTTCTGTTTATTTTTAAATAAAAAACACTGCTGTTACTTGCATGCACAGTGCAGACTTGGAGGAGGGATTTGTCTCCTCAGCTTGTTAACTGAATTTGATGCAGAATGACGCACATAAGTACCACAGTTTAGTATAAAATGTGGAGAGGGGAAAACTAGCTGCCTTGCATGCCGGCAGTGAGAAATCGGTACTCAGTACTAAAGAAAGCAGAAAGGTATGACATTTCAAAAAGCTCACAGTCATATGCCGGTCATTGGCACCAGGCTCACATAAATTAAGGACTTGAGCTCTTTTTGATTTGTCAGAGAAGTTAACTGTCATAAAGTTAAACCTATCAAAAAAGGACATCCTTGTATTCACTGATTTAAAAAAAAAAAAAAAAAAGCACTTACTCATGCAAATTACAGTGCAAGGGCAGAATCCCTTGTTTAAATACATTTAAGTACTGAATGAAACCAGAAGTATTTTTGTGAGACAGTCAGTGCTGGTCTGCTCTTAGGATAGCACGCTTGTGTTTAAGCTGTAGAAGCTCTACCAAGTAGAAGAGATGCTGCTATTCAGAAATTCAGCTTTATTGATACAAACATTGGAAACACAGTGCTTTCAGTTGTTAAATAAAGCAAGTCTGTTGAATTACATTACTATCATCTACCTCCAAACTATTTGTTTTTTTATTGTCTTGCTTGAATCTCTTACAGAACATCCAACACAAAACAGCCGATTACAGAAGCAGTAGTTTTTCTCCTCATTCTCATTTTCTGAGATGATTAAGCTAATGTCAGCAGCCAAGGGAACAAGGCCAGAGTGCAGAAATAGGCAGCGCATCCTTCTGTGTGGTGAGGATTTTCTTTGTTTTAAGTAAAGTTGAAGACAGACAGGTATCCACTCCACTCTAAAGAACTTCAGCTAGCTAAGCCTAGTAATTCCATTTCAGTACAGATATTTTTTTTAAGCATACTCATTGTTAAATGTAAGAGAGCATTTATGCCTTTAATAGAAACAGTCTTTCCAAAAAAACTGCACCAAGCTGATAATTCTTCAGTGAAATAGATATGTTGTCAGCTGCTTCCCACCATGCAAATTGCAAGGAAAGTTGCTACTGGAATTTTTGAGGCATACCTGGAAAGGAGATCTGAGTTAGCCATGAGTCTTCCTACGCAGTTTTGCTTAAGCTAGAAGGTAATTAAGTTGAAAGACCTGCCTCTTCTAACCTAGTTTTTTACCTAATTTTTTACTAATTCAATTCTGAAATGTTTTTTACTAATTCAATTCTGAAATGTGAAATTGGTCAAGTTGTCTTTCCGCCAATTCAATGTATTGTTTGAGTTGCTGCCTTAAATACAAGTAAAATCTTATCCCCACAAGGAGAGAATAGTCTGCGTTTCTAAGAAAGCAAAGCCTTTTTTGGCCTCATTCTAGATCTCAGGAAAGGATTCCTAAGCATTTTTACTTTTTAGTTTTCTATTAGACTTCTTTTACCCAGGAATAGCTTGCAAAATAGTCTCCAAGAACTCCGACTTACTCCTTTCTAACCACCTGAGTCTCTTTAGGTTGCTAATATTGCAAAACAGCCCTAGCATATACAGGACATATACTTGGATGGATACTCACCACAGGATTATTTTACCTCCAGCCTATCACCCAAGCCCTTTCAAAAGGCTAAACCTCCTGCACTCCCCAGAGTGCATTAAGTGACCACACATAGTGACTCAGGTCACAGACCAAGACCTCATTCAAGAAGGCTTTTCCTGAAATTAAGTCAGCTGAACTTTATCCTCAGGCAGAACTAGGCCAGAAAGAGCTGGCTTCTATCTCCTTACTTACAGCCTAGAAGGAGCATCACCATACAGGAGCCACACCAGCACCCAGGTACAGTATCCCCCCACACCCCCACTCAGGGGAGCCCCTATAGCCAGGTGGGGCTCCCCCCACACCCCCACCCAGGGGGAGCCCCACCAGCTGAGGGGCTTTCCCACTCAGGGGGAGCCTCCCATGGCCCAGCAGGGCTCCCTCTTCCAAAAAATTTCCAATGCCAAACAGAGTACCCTACCCACAACCCCCCCCCCCCAAAAAAAAAAAAAAAAAAAAAAAAAAACACAACTCTTTAGAGATGTGCAAACCCTGGACTCTAGCACCAAAAAAAAAGCACACAAGCTACTACAATCCCACACATAAATAAGCCAGAGCCAACTCGTACAACAAAAAAGAGAAAAAAAACTAGAACAATACCAAGTTCAACCACAACAGCAACAAAAAAAAGAAAAAAAACAACAACCCAGAGACAAACAAACTAAGCTGACACATAATTCCAACTCATCACAACACCTACAACCTTACAGAGAACAAAATAAAAAGGAACAAAAACACTCAGAAAGACCCCAGGAAACACTGAACACAAGCCAGCCTGGGGGGATTCAGCAGTCAGCCAACAGAACACCTACAGGACACACCGTAACACCCCATGCCTACCTCTCTAGTCAGCTCTGCCACCTCCTCCTTTACAGCTTTCAGAAGAGCTCAGCTCACAACCACTGTTGATGTTCTCCTCAGAGTAGCTGAACAACAACCTGAGGAAAGAGAAAAGCTCTAAGTTGTGGACCAACAAGGCAGACAACATAGCACCAGGAACCCACAGCACCTCACAAAAGGCCTGCTGGAGCTCCACCACAGGTAATACTCCTTACCTCTCGCTCCATCAATTCCACACCTTTAGGACCAAAATGAAAGCACAGTGAAGCCTCACCTCAAGGAAGGACCCAGGCATCACACATGCTGGCACCCAGTCCTAGCCCCTAACTGCATCCCAGGAACAGCACATACCTATCAGGGGGAAAAAAAATTAAATAAAATACAAGGCATCAGCATCCTCACTCTGGCCCTGAGCCTGCAAGGAAGAGCTCCACAGGGCCACCAGCCTCCAGGTTAACAGGGCACACAGCCCTGAGCCCCATTGCTCACCTCCATCCCACCAGCAAAGAAACCGCTCGTTCAGACCGGCGCTCGGCACTGAAGGCTCCAACAGACCTCATTCTGCAGGGAAATGGAAACTGCAGAGCTGTTAGGGATAGAAGAAGCTCTTCCAGAGGCAGTCAAGTCAAACTTCTTTGCTAAAGCAGCTTACCTTGCAGCACATTGCCCAGGAAGGCATCCGGAAACAACCCAAATAGCTGCAGAGAAGAACACTCAACAGCCAATTCAATCCCTCTCACAGGGAAGTTATTCTTTCTTCATACCGCATACAGCTTCGTTCATTCAATTCTGAGCACATTACACCCCTCTCTGCTGCTGAGTACCTCCCATACGCATCCAGACAAGCCCACCCCCACTGACTATGCTCCTGCACTTCAGATACTTACAAACTGAGGTGGTGATACTCCCATCTTGCACTCCTCAGACAGGAGACGCTCTCAGTCTCCATCCTGCTCGCTCCACAAACTTACCGCCGTTCTCGAGCTGCGGGGGAGGGGGGGGGGGGGGGGGCGGGAAATCTGAAAAGAGAACCACGCGTCTCCCCCGACGGCCGCACTCGTTGTAAAGCGCCCCTGGATAACGCCGGCCTCCTCGGCCGGGAGGGCGCGCCGTCGGGACGGCCGGGTCCCTCTGGAACATCGCTCCCGGGACGCCGGTCGCTAACCTGTACAGCTCCGTACGGTTCTTCCCTGTTGCTTTATCGTGAGACAGAGCGCTCGCAGCACTGAGGCACAAGTCTTACCGGCTTCCTCATGCTGGAATATAACTAACAGGGACGTTCCCCACCTTTACCCGCCGCCGGGCGCTCCGCTCTCCGTCCCCGGGCGGAGCTCGGTCCGTTCGGTTCCGTCGCGTTAACCGCGACTCAGCCGCCGCGCCGGTCGGTCTTCGCTAAAAAGAACACCGCCATCCGCAACAGCGTCGCAGTCACGCAAACTCTCGAGCCGGAGCTCCGTGACGGGAATGACACGGTCTTCCTGAAGTTACACATAGCTGCGGGAAAGGAAGAGGAGACGCACGGTCCCGTCCTACTCGCTCCCACTGCTGGGCGCGAGGACTGAGGTCGACGCAGGGCTCTGCTCGATCTCGAGGAGCTGCCGGCTTTTTTTGAAAAGCTGCGTGACTGCCCGGCGACGGTACCGCGCCGATCCTAGAGACGCTGAAATAGCCGAGCGCCGGCCTTACGCAAACCGCCGGCACAGAGCGCTCACCAGGGACCCCAGGCGCTCGCCGGTTGGAGTCGACGAGATGCTCCGCCATGGTCCTCGGTCTGCCGGCAATAAGATGAACTTCAGTCTCAGCAGCCCTTTGTGTCGCTTCTTACCCCCAGCAGCACGCAGGCTGAAGCGATACGGTCCCTCTAGCTCCCGCCAACGGCGGCGGGACGAACCGAAGCGCCCGCCGGAAAACCCCCGGCGTGCTCAGAGTGCCGCAGGGCCGGGTCGGGACCCGGGGAAACAGAGCGGCGGCCCGTACCGAAAATGCGATGGAAGCTAGGCGGCGACGGCACTCCAGCTATGAAGAGCCGGAAGAGCCCGAAAGCAGCCCTACACCAACGCAAAATCGGCGGCTTGACGGCCCTTATGACTCCCCTCCGAGCGCTCAGCGGGTCGGGCTGATCCTCACTGCGCGCGGTCTCGCTGCAACCTGAAACAAAGCAACAGAGAACGCTACGTTAACAAGGTTTCATTTCAAAGCAGCCCTGCACGTACCTTTCCAACCCCGGCGACACGATACCCGAACAACGGCACAGAACCAGCTCCGCAGCCGAGGAACCCCGACAACTGCCTCGTGGCTCTCGTCGGCCTCCGGCGGAGCTTAACAGGCTTTGCGGCGGGCCCCGCCTCTGAGCTGCCGACGAGGCGCGGCTGTGCGCCCCACCTGACGCTCGTTAGCGCGGCTGGGTGTCGTTAGGGCCGATCGGGGGCCTGACAGTTCGACACGTGGGCTCCGGATCTGAATTACGGACTTAAAGCACACTTCAACTGAAAGTTTGTTACGCGCTTCTCCTTCTCGCCTCGTTGTTGGGTTCGTTGACAAGTTAAGTAACTATACCCGATTCAAACGGATCGCTTCGCTTTGCATTTGAAGTGAATGGAATGACAGACGGTCACGCTGCCTGAGAACATCCCCGGCCCTGACCTTACCAGAGACCACCAACTTCCCCCCAAATTTCATCTCAGAAAACATGTGACTAAAGACGGCAGTGGAAATATGGCAGTGGCAATGTGACCGGTGGCCGAATGGGCTGCTGATACACGCCAGAAAATTGCATAGCGGTGAAATTGGAAGCGGAGCTTTGCAAACAGTTCCGTGCAGCGTTGCTCTGGGTTACGTTCCCGTGTCCTATAAATCAGTAGGATGACTTTCTCTAAGATTTTAATTATTTCTAATCGTGGACACAGGCACTACAAGACTTCAGCAATAACGTTCACCTCAGATAGCAGTTTCATTCCTCATTTAAAATTCTGACAGTTGGCCTATGCTCAATTCTATTTTTTATAATTGTATAACTGTGAATGTTTGTACTGCACATCCTAATCACTAGATGGTTTCACAGAGGATGGCCTAAATTGCAAATAGTGTGTTTCACGAGCAATTGTAGGCCATGGTTCTAAATGATTACAACAAGCTCTTTCTCCCAACATTTCCAGCTTGACAAGAGAAAGAAAAGCGATTACAAAGAGCTTCCCTCATAAAACCGATTTTGAGAACAGCTAGCGAGAACGTGTTCCTACTGCTTTTCTCCAAAAGCTGTCTAGTTCATCTGTATTTCTAAATGACACCAATCGGTTCCTGTCTCACACAACTAGTGGCTTACACATCAATTATTTACATACAGCATCTCTCACTTTTGGAACCTACTGTCTGTGAAGGGTCGTGTCCTTTTGAAGGGTGGAGATCCTGAGCTGCGGAATCTGACCGAGAGGCTCGACAATGTTGCTGGCGGGCTCCTCTTAAAGTGCTAGGTGTCTACAAATTACCGTGCAATTAAAGCGGCCGAAAGGTGCGGTGAATACGAGGGGACTGGCTGCTCAGGCCTTCCGTGATGCAATCACATTTTTATGAGCGGTGGTTACTTATTCATTACTTCTTTCAATACAAAGAAGAAAAGTTTCGTACATTCCTGACAGCGAATATATAAGACTCAGATTGTCGTCACTGTTCTGTTCTTAGGCCCGTCTCCTTACCTCTTTTTTTTTTCCCCTTTTCCCATTCCCCCCTTCCCTGGGGCATGAGTCTGTGCTTGCCCGTGCTTCGTCCGGTCACAGAAATGGGTGAAGCCAGCCCATAAGACGTTTACGTCTTTCTGATTTTCTCCCCGCACAGCTTCACTGCATATTTGTAATCCTCATAAGTTGCTCACCTCCTTTTCTAAAGACTGCAAACTTTCCTTTTTTCCAGAGTTCCGGACAAAGGCCTCTGCTCAGCCAGACTGGTCTCCTTCCCTATCGGTTCATCTTCTGTGAGTTCAGGATGGTCAGCTCCTGCACCTTTAAAATTTCTTCGTTACAGTATTCCCAGCCTTCCTGGGACCCGCGTCCTCCAGAACTAGCTCCCAAGGGTCTCCGAAAGAGACCGTGATCGGCCCTCGACCCCTCAAGTCTGGGGCTCAGAAGTTTAATGGAAATGTTGCAAGCAGCAAATCTGAATGATAAAGAGTTAAAACCATGTGAAGATAGTAAACTGAGGCTAAATTCTTAGAAAACACAGCAAAATGTGTCACACCGTCTGCAGCTACAAATTCTCTCTCTTCTACTTGTAGATTGTAGAGCTGTGGGATCCTGCCTACTGCCAAAGCCTTCTTGTGTGTGTATGCATGAAACTAGCTGCTCATTAGGTGGTCTGCATCAGCAGTGAGCTGGCCCTGGCTGCCATGATAGGAAGAGAAGGCTTTGTTTCCAAGAGAACAATGAAAGTGGTCACGTGCATGTAAGGAGCGAGTGTGCTGTCCATACAAACTTGGAGAGTGATCTCCCTTACCTTGAGAAGGAAGGTACAACTTGTGAATACCTCAAAATTCCTCAGGAAGAAATGTTTCCTAAACTGTGCATGTCTGATCTGCAGTGAATGGTGAACAAAACCCCAAAAAAAGCATTAAGCACAGAGCCTGCCGCTGAAAATGAAAAAAATTGCTGGGTGCGTAATGAACAGGGCTGGAAGAAAGACCCGTTAGCAACAGTCGCAGTGTGACAGTGACTGATGCGACCCCCTTCCCAGAATGTCAACATGGATGGAGTAATGCCAGGGATTTGCAACGTGGGAAAGAGGAAAACCAGTTACTACAAAATCTGCCCGGAGTTGCTACCGTCACCCGATGCCTTTATTATTCCCACATCGCTAAGGCAGCCCGAATCGCACTGTCAATCGCAATCTCAGACTCAATAATGATGGTTACCTTCACAGGGTCTTTTTTGGCTATTACTTTCCTCAAGGCCAGCTCAGCATCAGCGTGAATTCTGCTCGATAATGTTGCAACAGTAAGTGAAAACGTTGGCAAAAACTTTGGGATGCGTTTGATGCTGGCTGGCTCTCCTGCGTTGCCTATAAGGCAAGGCCATGTCTTTAACATGGCTTCTGCCGGGAGCTTTGGCAGTGAGGTCGCAGAGTGGCCGAGATCAGAGCAGGCTGTTTTTAATCGCCTCAGGCAGCGATCCTGTAACAATTGCATAATAAGAAACACACTGTCACAGCAAGCAAAATGATCTCTGGTGCAAAACCCTGAGTAAAGCTGCTCAGATTTTAATGCCAGAAAAAAATCACAGCTACGAGTGAGGCACATAAACACCTCGCTGCCAAACTGTCAGCCTTACGAGAAGCAAATTAGACACTTTTTAAAACTTTAGTCACTCCTAAGGAAATAATAAGAGATGAGCATCGCCTACCTGAAGAATTTCATTATGACAAAATGAAGGCTGAGCACAGTGTTTATTTACCAAGCTACCATATCCCAAGTAAACGAGTACTCACAGCATTGGTGCGTTCTGAATTTGGGGATAGGTCAGAAAAGTCACTGAATCGTAGATTTGTATAATTGTTCAATTTGGAAGAAACCTGGAAGATCGTCGAGTCCAACCACAACCTAACCAGACTACCCTCACAACCCTCTGCTAAATCATGTCCCTGAGCACCGCGTCCAAATGGTTCTTAAACACATCTGGGCATGGTGTCTCAAATGCCTCCCTGGGGAGCCTATTGCAGTGCTTCACAGCCCTTTCTGTAAAGAAGTTTTTCCCCATATCCAATCTAAGCTTCCCCTGGCACAACTTGAGGCTGTTTCCCCTTGTCCTGTCACCTTTCACTGGTGAGAAGAGACCAACCCTGCTCTTGCCGTAAGCACTTTCCAGGCATTAGAAGGGAGCGATAAGGTCTCTCCTCTGGCCTCCCTTCCCCCAGATTAAACAGCACCAGTTCCTTCAGTCGCTCCTCGCAGGGCACATTCTCCAAGCCCTTTGCGAGCCTTGCTGCTCTTCTTTGGACCTGCTCCGGCTCCTCCACGTCCTTTCTGCGCTGAGATGCCCCAAGCTGAACACAGTACTCGAGATGAGGCCTCACCAACTACAGGGGCAGGATGATTTCTCTAGTCCTGCTCACCGCACCGTTCCCCATACAAGCCAGCATGCCAGTGGCCTTCCTGGCCACCTGAGCACATTGCTGGCTCATATTTAGCCGACCGTCTATCGGTGCACCGAGGTCCTTTCTGCATGACATCTTTCCAGCCACTCCTCCACAAGCCTGCAGGTTTGCCTGGGGTTGTTGTGACCGAAAACTGTCATTTGTCTGCAAAACAATGAAGTCATAGTTGTTAACGTTTCCATTTATTAGCGCTGCTATGCAGTGAAACATTTGTATCTGAGAAGTAAAGAGAAATTACTTTGGATCTTCTCCTGTGTTCCTATTTTCAAAATTTAAATCAAATCCTAGTGATTCATTCAGCTACAGTTAAAGTAGACCTGCTCCATTTCTGATGCGTGCGCTTTAGGTGTGGCTTACTTTGCGTTATTTTCTTCACTCTGTCCAATTTTTTAATCTACATCTTGGCAAAAAGAAATCAAAAGCAATCTTATTATGACAGCTCTAACAGTATTCCTCACAATTTTTTTGCATTGTGTTAGGAAACATTTTCTAAATCATTCCTCATTCATGCCAACAGCTGACGTTTTAGAACATTAGAAGAAAACACATTGTGTTTGTCGAACCACTTACGAGAACTCAGTTGAAGCTTCTGAAGTGCCTCCTTCCTCAACATTCTGAGCTAATTGTTGCGGTGCTTCTGTTAATCGCGGGGAAAAAAAAAACCCAGAAAGTTGAAAGGTACTGTGCCTCAAATGACCTGCGAATCTGAGAAATAATGCAAAAGCGTGAATGTCGGCCAGAACTGGTTCTTGTCTTGAAGCAAAAGACAGAAACGCCTCAGTGGCAGCGTGGCAAACCACGTGAGAGCTGGGCATGTACAGCTGGAGCCGTGGGATGAGGGCTTCTGGCACTGCAGCTGTGCTGTTGCAATGTGGATCAATCTCGAGTTTGTGCACTGCTCTGCATTGTCTGGAAGTGTCGCCAGACAGGCGAGAACTTTCGCCCTTGCTTGCTGCACTACTGACAATCACTGCTCTCACCTGGATTCCACGGCTGCTATCCCATCGGGCTTGCCGAAGGGGGAAATCTGGTACACCTCCTCCAACATAGCAAATGTCATCGAGGCTCTGCTGTCATAGTACTTGTAAGTGAACAGCGCTGTGCCTTTCATGTTTTTGACTTTCTAAAAGTGCAAAGAGACACGAATATGAAATGGAAATAATTAACTGGCGAGTCAAATTCCCTGCCGACAGCAACAGAGAGCAGTGGCAGGCATGCAGCCCACCATGGGACAAGTGGGTCAGGGTCGAATGTAGGTCATGCCCGTGCAGTGTACCACGCTGCCCGGTTTTCATCTTCAGCCTTCGTGACAATGAAATGAGGGGATATTCACCCAGAGACCGTTGTTTTACAAACACATGGATATCAGTAACATTTCTTGGTTTGATTTCTGTAATAAAATTTCCTACATCAGGGACTGATGCTTGGTTAGTCTTCTCGATCCGGCTCTGGAGAAGAACTATGTACGCTCAACAATAGCAGCAGACATGAATCACCTCACTGATGAAGATCCATTTGTTGCAATTCACAATGATGCCGAGTTATAACTTCATTCAGAATTTTTTTCGCCGCTGTTGCTGTGTATGTATATTGTTTGTGCCAGTTTCGTGATTCTCTGTCAACTGAATTGAAGACCAAAGATTTTCACTCCTCAGTATTTTGGATTGTAGCATCGCATCGTAACTGTGGGTGGTTTGGTTCCCTGTCAGTTCATGCCATTAAGAAAACAAAAATATAGTTGACCCACCAGGTGGCAGAAACCTCAGATGATTGCTGGAAGCTATTTTAACACTGACTGTTCCAAAGGTTTCTACCTAAGTGAACTGAAGTTGTTTAGTATACCAAAGGAGCAAATTGTACTTTATGTATACTTTATGTCACCGGTGAATTCAGCCCGAAGTTTTCTATCCTTACGTCACACAAAACAAACACTGCCTCCATGGTATCGAAAATTTGGATTCTGAAGTGATTGCAGGCAGTGACACACCTGTCTGTGTATTCTGACAGGTTTTGACTGCCTTTTATTTCTGGAATCCTCAGGACAGTAAGTGCCATTTCAACTGCTTTAATGCAATAAGTACTGTCATTAGAGCTTGCAATGGCTTTAACGTTGTACATTAGTTCAGAAGGTAGACACTAACAATCCTTTTCAAAGGGGCAGGAAAGCTCCAACAGTTTCAATGGCTTCTAAAAGTTCCATAAAGCTCTCTGATTTAAACTGAGGGCTTGTCTTGGCACATTTGTCTTGGCAGTTGATCACAGCCAAAATGCTGGGGCCGGCCATATCTATTCCTGGTCTGAGTAATACTGCCAGACATTACAGAATGATTGAGTCTCGAGCAGCATGGAGGCATATCTATACTTCAAGGAAACAAGAACAGTCTATGCTCCAGCCACTATCACTCAATCAGGTCGTTCTCAAACTTGTCTTTTGCCCTTGGGGTGAGGTCATTGAGTGCTCCTGCCCCTTTGAAAGAGACTGGCTCGCCATTCTAGGTGCTGCTGGTCCGCCGGTATTGTGCTGGTTACCGCAGAGGATAACATCAACAGGGAAGGCCGTGAAAGATTTTGGCTAAGCCACTTCCGCACAGACAGCAAATGACGTAGCGTTACTTGCTTGGAAGAAAACTGTTGTCCTAGTCATGAGACGTGCGACTGAACAAATAATTGACGGTCACTATTTCCAACATACGCTTCCTAAAAAATGAATAAGCATTACCAAAGTGTGCTGCAGGATTCACAATTTGCAACACCGCTTTTGATAACGATAGCTTTGGGATATTGAGCTGTTTCAGCAGGTTGGGTATTTTTGTTGTTGTTTTTTTTTGGTTTGGTTTGGTTTGTTTTTTTGCTGATCCGATGCTGTGAAGGTTATAGACTCATTTTAAAGTGCACTTCGTTAATCTTTTTTAAACTCTGCAATGTTAAAGAGAGATCAGCTGCCCATAAAAATGAAAAGGAAGACCTCAGCTTGTTTTGGTTTTAGTGCTCTTTTCAAAGAGCAAGTGACACCAATTTGTCCTTATACACCAAGAAGCTGGACTACCGTGTCGTGAAAAGGAACAACTCTCAGTGCAAGGACAAGAAAGAGCAGAGAAAACACAGCACGGAGACAAGAATGTGCTACTCTCTGGTCAACATCATAATCAGTTCTTAGGTGTGCAACTCACTTCACATATAAATTTGAAAGAGTTAGAACGAGCAGTAGTTTGCGGAGAACAATGGTGTGAACATTGGGCATAAACTGAGTGTGAATCAAGTCACCAACTCGCATGACAGATGGCCCAGATTCAACCGCTGACCAGGGATATATGCTTGCTTTGTCCAAAAGAAAGGACAAACCGTAACCGTGGGAAATGTTGCAGCAGATGATTCACAATGTAGCTCCACTAAGGGTGCGTGAGGACTGGATTGTATCAGTCTAACAGTTATGACATTATAATGCTGCAGTGTAATTCCTTAGCAGAAAAAGGCATTATAATTCAGTTTGGTAGCAGTTTATTATTTGCTAGACATAGAGAATCATTCATTCTTGAAAATCAGGGAATCAAAATTGGCACAATCAGTATACATACAAAGCAAAAGCACAGAAAAAAAAATTGCAACTGAAGTTACAACTTGGCATCAACGTGAATTGCAACAAATGGATCTTCATCAGTGTTACTAATCTGGAAATTGGCCATTCCATCCGAAGAAACATACACTTGCTTTCCAGTACACGCACTGCCTTCCTTATCTCCAGAAATAACATCACAGTAGGTACCGGCAGGCAGCCCCGTTTGCAAATTGATGTTCATATACCTACGCAAAAAGTACATTGCTTAAAGCATGGCTTTCAAAAGAGGAATTTCAAAGCAGGTAAAGGACTGTTGAGCCTGATGCAATTCTGCTACTTGTGAGGATGACGCATCGCAAGGGATTTCTCGGTCTGAGGGCCCAGTTTCTCTAAACTCCCTTTTTAGCCCCTCACAACTAGAAGGCAACCGTGTGAATCTAGCTCAGGCTGTAGCGGTTGGTCTCGCTGTCTGGAAAGGACAGGAGAAAACCAAAGCGTACAGGCAGCTCCTACATCAGGATGCATGCGGTTAAACAGAAGTAATTAACCCCCTAACTGGGATCATTCACACCATTTCGGTTGCATTGGCACAACTAGATTGGCTAGAGCCAGATGAGGGAAGTGATAAACTACCCTCTCTGCCCATAACCACCAGAACTTAAGCTGCTAATGCTTAGACCCCCGGGCTGTATCCTGCCCACAGCCTCGTCTTCTCTACTGTGAACTCATACGTAGCTTTCCGGGAAATCACTCACCAGTCGTCATTATTAAAGACAATGAAGCCTTTGTTGCCACGACCAAAAGCTACTTGATTGCTATCGTTGTCCCACCAGTTTGAGAAAGGCTGACCGTCTACCACGTTACGGAAGACAACCATGTTCCTGAAAATGCAAGGAAGAGCTGTGGCTGCAGGACTTCTACGGCCACGAGGCGCGTGACCCGAGAGTCACTGCTTTTCCTACGTCTTCCTCCCACCTTATTTGTCGCCAGCGATGTTCACAGACCCAGTCGTTGCCGCAGGTTGTGTCGGCATTGATTGTCACAGACTTCGTCGATCCATCTGAGTTACTCGGCGGTCCAACCCAGTCGTTGACATCCTTAAACGAAAAAAAAACTTTTTAAAGTCCTTACTGGAAAACGCACAGAGAGTATCCCAAGAGAAAAGATAAATTCGGCTTCTAAAGTCCATCTGGCAGATCCGGCACAGGACAGAGAAATCATTTACGTTTGACACGCCAAAATCTTCAGCGCTACAAACTCACCTGTCCGTTCTCAAAATATCTTGGCCAACGATAACTTGACATCACCCGCGTGAACCCGTACGGATGAGCGAGCATGAAACCAACTGCCATTTTATAAAGCCTGTTGGACAAAAAACGTAACAGAACGTGGAAGAGAAACGATGCCAAAGAAGCGACAGACCAAAAAAGAGAATAGTAAGCGTCATCATCCAGACACTGCCATTGCTCACCTGGAATCCCAGAAGGTAAGAATGGAAGCTCCGCCTGCCCCGTGCCCCCGCTGGTTGTCGTGGTTATCCACAAAGACCAGGGCTCTGTCAGAAGGCACAAAGCCCCAGCCTTCTCCCCAGTTCCTAGAGAAAAACACAAGGACTTGATTCTCCCCCTTCACGTCACGCATCCAGCTTATCTCACATCGGTCGCGGGACGTTCGCCCTTACTTTAAGTAGGCCATCTTCTCTCCATTCCACTTGCGGATCACCGTCCCCAGTTTTGCACCGTACTTGAACTCTGTTACTCGGCCATTTCCAAAGTACTGACTGCCTGTGATTGGCTCTCCTCCCAAGTCAATTACCTGGCATGGGAAAAAGCGTCACTTGTGTTTTAACAGAATCAATCAGTAATGCAGTGCACAGCTCTCACCATTATCTGTAGCATTAGATCAAGAAAAATGTATTGACGAGCACATTCATTTCTGCCAGGCATATCAACCAAATTTGGATTAATTATATGTGATGAAATCACGTGGAAACGTGGGGCTTCACTGTTCTCCTAAACTGCAGCGTACCACCTCTTAGTTAGACTAATCCCCATGAAGATTTCATGATGCCTTGCAGTTATGAAGGGCACGTGTCCGTGACCCACTGCACTGACAATCTTTCCTGCTTTGTAAGAACAAGCACACATCACTATTTCCATTCCTCAGAAGGGGTATGATAAAAACGTAAACACAATACATGGTAGACAAACAGGCAAAAAGTAAAAAAAAAAAAAAGGAAATTACCTCTTGGAAAATAAAGGGTTTTGTTCCTTCTGAAAACCACTGAGTGTTTAGATTGTGCAATTTGGCCAGAAACGCACTTATGTCCCCAGGCCACATATGCTTGGCAGCATCGATCCGGAACCCTGCTACACCCATATCAATGAGGTGATTCATGTACTCTGCAATTGTTGAGCGTACATAGTCCTTCTCCAGAGCCAGATCAAGAAGGCTGGTCAACTTACAATCCCGGACCTGGGTAATTAAACACAGAAAAGGAAGAAAGAAAAAAAAGATCAAAATGGAGAAAAAGTACAGAATTGAAGAAGAGTAAAAAGGAAGAGAAAAATAGGAAACAAAAATTGAATTTTCACATTTCACTCCGTCTGCTTGTAAAACAAATGTCTCTCTGCAGATATCCCCTCCTCATTTGTTGACATGAAGGCTGAAGATGGAAACCAGGATGCTGTATCACAGCCCCGTGGGTGAATGCTGAGCTGTGACCTTGACAAAGAACCGTCACCCACGTCATGTCCAAACAGACCGACCAACACAACCAGAGTAGCATCGTGCACAGCTCCCAATTTTCCTGGGCTCCCTTAACAAAGGTAGTTGATTTCCAAAGTCCTAAGAAAGAGCCCACTGGCAAAACTGAGAGGCTTCAGCTCAGTCGGTTCAGACGCATGCTCCTTCACATGCCCACGTGAAACATGGGTAGGATTTGTGACTTCTCAGTGCCTACAGTACTGGGCAGCACAGGTGCGTTTCCGGAAGAGAAGCCTATGATGTACACCACTGTATTCACTAGTAAGGGGACTAAGCGTTCAACCTGAGATAAACTACTCCTTTTCTTTGGCTTTACTGTACACAACAAGATTTAAACGAGAAAAAATATCAAAATCGAAATCAACAAAAGTTACCTGATAGATGTCCCCATAATTTTCGATGTCTCCACTGGCGGTCTGACATTTGCCGTCGTTGAAATCCCACGCAGAGTACGGCACAGCAGGAAAATCTCTAGTCCCGGTGTTGAAATAGCTCCCGCACGTTGAGTGGGTGCCTGTGCCACCCATAGATCCGCACATGTGATTGACAACAGCATCCACATAAATGCGAACCTGGAAAAGGAGTGATTGCGATTCAGTCTGTGTTGTGATGCTGTTGAAGCATCAGCCGGAGCTTTACCGCACCGCTGTCAGCGTGACCTTTCATCTGCCTCCCTTTACTCTCCGTTTAACCCTCCTTCGAGAATAGGAGCGGCAACTTTGCTCCACAGAAACCGCCCTTCTCAGCGTATCGGCTACGCATTTTCAAGGCACTTACTCCAACGTTGTTGCATCTGGTCACCATGTCTCTGAATTCATCTTCAGTGCCTGATCGACTGCAGATCTTGTAGCTGATGGGCTGGTACCTTTCCCACCAAGGCCGGTTCGGATTAGTAATGACAATGTTTTCATTTGGAGGAGAAACCTGTGGGTGAAAGGACGTACCTCAGTCAGAAATCTGTAGTTCCCATTTCACGTTTTAAGTGCAGTAAGGTGTGCTCAGTGCTGAGATTAGTCTGTCATTTCCATGAGACAGTTCAGGTCTGCAAAATGTAAGTCTTGTAGACTGGCATCAAGGAAATTCTCCTTTGTTATCATGGATTGCCTGGATGTGTGACATCCTTTGGATGGCCGAAACTCTGTATGTCTGTGTACTTGACTTGGTAGAAGAGAAAAACTTAGCTTTGTAAGCGAACGTATCAGAGAAAAGTAAGCCCTCTTGCAGGTGATCTGCAGCTAAACACACACTCATACCAGGCTGGCAGGATCTCCCATCCCTGCTTTGAACAAGAAAGTTACTTGGAACTCATTGTCTGCAATTCTGGCTATTTGGATTGTTAAGCAAATGCTGCAAAGCAATTTTACTGCCTGTGGGCAGGAAACTACATACCTGAACTCCTCCAAAACCATAAGGAGCTAAATAGCGTTCGCACTCCAGAGCAATATCATCCCAGCGCCATTCAAAGAGATGCACGATAGACGTCCTCCCAGTCTGAGTGTTGGGATCATACTGTGCCCAGCAAAGCCCTACAGCTGCGAGGAGGAGAAGGACTTGCATGGTGCCTTCAGCTTAAGGCTGGTGGTCTTTCTGCTGGCCATTTATACTCCTGCAAAATTACAAAGTTCCTACTGCAGCTGACAGATTTCACAGAGATGAATGCTATCGGTTATTGTTTGTCTAGCTAACAGGGTATCCATATTCCCATTTGTTTTATCTTGAACTGCCCCACAGCTGAAGATAATGTGCCTTCTCCCAGTGTTTATACCTTATCATATACCAAGCAGTCTCTGAACAAAGCATCCAAATTTAGGATTATATTATTTTCAATAATGTAAACTAAGATAGTTCTACATTATTCAAAATGTGACACTTGGAGCTTGAAGAAGGGATTCCAGAAGATGGAAAGGGAAGGGAAAGGTAAGGGAAAAGGAAAAGAGGAAGGCACACTGACAAAAAGGTGAAGGGATTGTAAAAGGGCAGGGAGAGGGGAAGGAAAAGGGATAGGAAAGGGCCAAGGGAAGGAGAAAGGGGAGGAAAGAGAAGGGAAAAGCACAGACAAAACAAAGGGAAGAGGAAGGGGAATAAGAAGGGAGAGGACTAGTGACAAGCTCATAGTTCTAAGAGAGGGAGGGAATTTGCCAGCAGCCAGAGACATCTAGCTCTCAGGATTACTCTGAGCTCAAACTTGTGCACCAGATCAGCCGCTGTCAGTCAACAGCAAATATATCACACATCATGCTGTGAGACTTTGAGGTCTGAATCTCACTGTTAGTTAGAAACCAGGCTTCTGTTCTTTTACTGTTATTGTCCCATGCTTGCTATGAGCTCTTAATCAGTTTTTCAACACACAACCACACACGCTAAATGTTTCTCTACCTTAAAGTGATCAGTGTCAAGTATTTCCAACAGAGAATCTGCTTAAGTTTTCATGTTATTTTAAATTACCAATGATTTGTCTGAGTCAGATAAGGAAACCAGTATTGTGTGTAAAGAGGTACTGCAGATGAGTCTTTGTTGTCTGCAATAAAACGGAACTGAAATGCTGAATGGTTCTGTTCCCCTTTTGGCGTTTACCAAAATTTCCTGCTCCAGAAACCTTGCAGATTTTTATCGTGACATGGTACCAGTTAATCTTTGAGAACTGATCTTTAACATAAAGGCCTCCATACAATGTGCCAGGAATAGACTAGAGTTAGGCCATTGGTAGAACAACACCCTGAATTCTAAGACCAGAAGCTTGGAGAATAACTGTGAGAAAAATACGAAGTCCACAAAGAAGCGCAGCCACTCCAGGAGAAAAGTAATCTAATTTCTGTTTGTTCCTGAACTGCCTGGAGTATGTTTTTCTCTGAAACGAGCCATGTCATTGAATGTGTTTCAGATACATCCCTCTCTTCTCCAGAGTTCATATTATGGGAAGAAGTATAGAAGTGGGGCTCATTTGGCCACCTGTTCATTTTTGTATCATAAATCTTATCAAAGGTCTCTTTTTCCATAAAAAAAAAAAAAAGAAAGAAAACAGAGAAAAAAAAAGAAAAAAACCCGACATAAGAAAAAAACAATAATAACGATAACAACAACAACAAAAAAAACCAACAAAAAACCCACCACCTTTATTTTGATTAACAGCAGTGATGTATTTGATGCTTGCTGATTGGTGGGAGCTTTGGTTTGGGGCTGGGGGGGTGGTTCACTGGTGTCTACTGTCAGTATTGGCACAGTTTTAGATGGGAGCAAAAGGGAGTAAGGATTTCAATATCGCAGGTAACACAACTCTCAGTTCCGTTTTTCAAAACTATACACTGGCTCCACATATGACCTTGCCCACTTTCTAAAAGCAAGGAAATGCAGCTGATTACACTTTCTGGTTGATAAGTTAGAACAAATCCATCGTGACTAAACATTACCAAGTCTGACTAAATGTCTGAGGTCAATTTTTACAACACCATTCCATTTGAGTTGTACTGAGGTAATGGCAAGTGGTTCAGCTGTTGAAGAAATCCCATGGTACACTGTGAAACAATTGCCATTGACTAGACCGGCTGATCAGGTACCCAAGTTCAAGCTCTGATGAATCCTGAGAGCTAGCTGCCTCTGAATGCTGGTGAATTTATTCCCCCTCTGACAGTTATGAGACTTCCAATTGCCTTCTAATTCCTTTCTATTCCTTTTACAGAGTCTCCTCATCAAGGTCCATGTGTCACATTTTGCGTATCTTTTGATAGTTTAACTTTATTTATATGACCGGAAAGAATACAAACTCAAATTTGAGTGTACTGCTCACTAGTACCTGGGCTATGATAAGATATGAACATTGTGAGAATGTAGTATATCTGCAGTCATGTGGCAATTCAGGAAAAGCAAGATACTCAGCTAGCTAGACAAACAGTAACTGATAGCTTTCATCTCTGTGAAAACTGTCAGCTGCAGTAGGAACTTTGTCATCTTGCAGAAGTATAAATGGCCAGTGGAAAGACCATATCTTATGAAGGCACCCTGCAAGTCCTTCTCTCATGCAGCTGTAGGGTTTTGCTGGGCACAGCACAACCCCAACACTTAGACTGGGAAGACGCCTTGTGTAAATGTTTTTGAATGGCTGTTCCACATTCTGTCTTGACTTTCAGTGATGGCAGATGTCATATTGGAAGTGGAGACATTGAAAATCATGGGGACAAATCAGGTGGCAGCATTTTGAATTCTTTTTTTTTTTTTTTTAAACTTGCTGTATAAAGATTAGAGTAAAACCAAGGAAAGGGAGTAGTTTATCTCAGGTTGAACACTTAGTCACCTTACTAATGAGTGCAGTGGTGTACATCATAGACTTATCTTCTGGAAATGCACCTGTGCTTCACAGTACTGTAGGCACTGATAAGTCATGAATCTTCCCCATGTTTCATGTGGGCATGTGAAGGAGCATGCGTATGAACTGACTGAACACAAGCCTCTCGGTTCTGTCAACGAGCTCTTTATTGCAGCTTGTGAAATCAGCTGCTCTTGTTAAGGGAGCCCAGGAAAATTGAGAGCTGTGCAGGATGCTACCCTGGTTGTGTCGGCTGGTCCGTTTGGATGTGATGTTGTTCTTTGTCGATGTTACAGCTCAGCGTTCACCCATGGGGCTGTGATACAGCATCCTGGTTCCCATCTTCAGCCTTCATGCCAACGAGATGAGAAGGGGATATCCACTGAGAGACATTTGTTTTACAAGCAGATGGAGTGAAATGTGAAAATTCTTTTTTTGTTCCCTTTTTTTTACATTTACTTTCTCTACCTTGTTACTCTTCTTCAATTCTATACTTCTTCTCCATTTAGGTTTTTTTTTGTTGTTGTTGTTGTTTTTTTTTTTTTAAATTGAGGGAGGTGGAGCACTGGAACAACCTGTCCAGGAGGATTTGCGAAGTCTCTTTCTCTGGAGATATTCAAAAGCTGTCTAGATACTTTCTGTGTGACCTACTGTAGGCAACCTGTTTTAGCAGGAGGGCTGGACATCTATGATCTGCAGAGGTCCCTCTCAATCCCTACGATTTTGTGATTCTGTGATTTCAGGGATAATCAGTGGTACAGCCTCATATTTATTCTATATCCAAAAACGTCATTAAGATCAAGCAGAAATTGGTACGAAAAGAAAAAAACAAAAATAATTGGAACTCAGATCAGAATGATCAGATATAGTCACTCTTTTTGTGCATGCATATTTTCCTTAAAATATGTGAAATAATGACTTGTATCTTTACTGAGTTCTAACCACCTGTGTGGAAGGTGCCTGAATGATTTAACAGACAAATGGACTTTTAATTCACTTTATCTTAACAAAGTCAATAATTTTTACGGAATACCAATTTATTTTACACAGTAAAATGCCTGTAGACTGAATTCTCCCCACTCCCTTCTACTCATCAAAAATGCCAGAAACTGCAGTTCTTTTTAAGCAAATGTGATTTTTGTCTTCTCCCCTCACTACCTTGCTGCTATAGACTTTGTTTCCACGTGGCTACTCTGAATATTTACAGTATTGCAAGGTGACCTCAGATTTGGATAGGAAAGAATGAAAAAATCCAATTTCTCACCCAAAAGGATCTCAGCCCAGCCACGGACCACAGACCGTGCTGCAGGATATTCTGGAGTTCAGGGATTTCAGCAGGAGACAACATCGCTGCCGCAGCTCAGTGAGACTACAGCTGATTTTGCTGCAGAGTGGAGCCTGTGAGCGCTTAAAATACCGATACTGTGTTTGGGGAATAACATATGGAGCCTGTTGCTGTTGCTTTTTTATCTGCTTGTTTGTTTTTGGCGAGGTACGCGGCATGGAGCGGACGCACACCGCCAACAGGGAACCGCCTCGGCTGCTTGACGAGTAGCCCTGCCAGCGAGAAGCTGCCGGACACCGCTGCTCCCCGCGTGGCAGCGGCGATCTGAAACAGAAGGGGCGGAGCCAGGAGCAGCGGCGAGGCACCCCCTGCGTGTATAAAAGCTGCCGCTAGGGAGTGCGGCGAGCAGGATGGGGGTAATGTTACTGCCCGATGTCGGACCGGTCGCCTATCGGCCGTCTCGCGGACAGCGTATCTCGCCGTGCTCTGCACCAGGGAAAAAGGCTGGTGAGAAAGACGGTGGCGACGAGTCTGTGCCTAAAGAAGCGGAGGTTCAAGTCTTTTGCTGCAGCACCTGAGTCTACTGCTGCTGTGTGAGTAGGTGGGTGACCTACTCTTATGGTGGTGGAACTCAAGAAGGATGTTGAGAAGGTAAGGAGTATCAGAATGTGTGAGCAGGGGATAGACTTGTGGTGTAAATCTCTGCAAGAAAGACACTGGGGTGATAATTGGAAGACAGTAATGGATGCCCTGTCATTGCTGAGTAGAGTGAGGAAATTTGAGAGAAGAGGAGGTGTGAAAATATGTACTGGCTAGGTGATGTAGGTAACTGCCATCCTGAGCAACCCCAAGTGCTCAGGATGCTTGGTTGGTTCCCCAAGTGCCTTTGTGGAACAGGTTTGAGGCCCTGGAGTGGTCAGTGAGGGTATGGTGGGAGGTCTGCTCACAGGGTTGTTTTGGGTGAAGCAGTTGACTCCATGCCTAAAGGCTGCCT